CTGTCTTCTCAGACTGGGACGGTGGAGACCAGGAAGTCGCGCCATGCAGGGGAATCCCGGCCTCGCCCTGCCCGCGCCCAGGGTCTGCACAAACGCGTGCCAGGGCACTTTCCTTGCCACCCCTGAATCGCAAGCGGCTGCAGGACACTGCCCTCGCCACGCAGTGCCCGTGCCCTGGAGTGCCATGCAGTAACACAGACTGCTTGCAGGAGGGTGTGCTGGTGTGCAGGTCACCACGCCAGGGGCCACTGGGCCCACTCAGGCCCACCGTGGGGCAGAGGTCTGTGGCCTGTGGGGCACTCGTCCTTGTCCCCAAGACTGGGAGAGGTAAGGCTCAGAGGCAGTCACCACATGGCGGTCCCCAGAACCCCTCCCTGTCCTGGACGCGGCTCTGACTCCTGGCTGCACCTCGGAGGACAGGGGTCGGGTCTGCGGCCACAGCCCCATCCACGGCCTCCCCGAGTCTGGCTCTTGCTGGTGGAGCTGGACTGGGTGGTACTGGCCACGGACAAGGTCTGTGTCGTGGGTGCTTAGGAACCAGCCTTGGGGTCAGCGGCCAGTGCTGCAGCAGCCTGGGAGTGAGGTGGCTCCTGCCCGCCCAGCCCTTTGCAGCTGCGCCCGGCCAGGTGGAGACGCCTGCAGAGGGCAGCTGTGCGCACAGGAGGTGGGGGTGGACCAGGTGTCCCTGGGGACTGTCTGGGGTGCCCCTCACTCCTCCGCGCCCCGCTCCAGCTTCCCAATCAGGTGCTGGTAGGTGTCTCTCTCCACATCCCAGGAGTGCCACCTGCTCACGTAGACCCTCCCGTTGGCCACGAGCTCTTTCTTCAGCATGGGGTCACGCACTAGTCTCTTGGCCAGGCGAATGAACTCCTGCAGAAAAGGAAGTGCAGGAGAAAGATAGACTCAGTGGGCGTAGGGGGGTCTCACAAGTGTATGCAAAAGTCGGGGTCTGCACAGCTCCTGGTCTCCGCCCTCTCTGCCTTTCTCCCCTTCCAAAGCAAAAGGCTTTCAGGAGGGGTGTGAAAGTTGCTTCTGATTTGGCAACTTCCCTGGATTAAGCATGGTTGAGAGGTTAGGAGAGCACCTGACTGTGTCGTGCAGGGTGACTTGGGAGCTAGTGACCTTGGGTACCACCTTAGTGTTTTAGTCCTTGCTGCCCCTGCTCCCCTGCTCCACTTCCAGCCCCCATGAACGGAGCAGCTTTGCTCCCCCAGACTCTTCTGCCATGACCCCCTGCCTTGGAGCAGCTGACCATGTACTGCATCTCCTGAAGCCAGGAGCCAAACACACCTCTCCTCCTTGACGTCACGAGTGTCGGGGGTTGCATCCAGCAACTGGAAAGCTGGCTGCCAAGGTGGGAGTGAATGCAAGCATTGGGGTAAAGAAATTACACTGAAGTGTGTAAACACTGGTGAGTGCACACACAGCCACAACATCTATGTGCACACATCCACGCATGCACACAGACACAGATTCACATGCATACATGTGCTCATACACCTACACGCATACATACACTCACGTGGTCATGCATATGCGTACAGACACACAGATCTGCACACACAAATGTGTTCGTACACGTGCACACACTGGAATGAACCTCTGAGAAGAGCACTGACGTCATCAGTTACCCTTCCCTCCCTTTTTCTTCCCTAGATCAATGACGTGCAGATGACTCAGGATTTAGAGTGTCTCCCTCTTTGCCAACCGCTGCCCGAGACCCGACGGCCGCCTTTCTCGGGGATCCAGCCTGGGACAGCTGCCGTGTGGGTCCCATGGCGCCTGCTGCAGGGTGCTCTGCCTCCGTGGTCAGGCCTGGGTGCGAGTCCCCTCCACTGCCTGGCTTTGCTGGGGCGCTGTGCACACAAGGTGGCCTTGTCCGTGGGGGAGTGACCAGCCCAGGGCCACAGCCGCTGGAGAGGAAGGCCGGGCAGCCTGGGCCTGGATCCCTCGCCTTCCCCGGGCGCTGTGGGGCCTCAGACCACAGTGCTGCTCTGCTCGTTATTTATTGATGCTCACAGACAGAGTGCAGTAAGGGGAAGGCTCCCGCCAGCCAGTTTTAATATCAAAGCCCTTCCTAATTAGGAAAACTAGAATATTTTGGTACTAAAGAGCATTCAGGGAGAGGAGGGGAACATTCATTATTGATCATGCTTGTGTGTGAGCCGCAGCCAGTTTACTTCGCCTGCCATCATGGCGTGACAGGCTCGTCGTGCTCCCCGTGACCGGGGTCCTTGGCCGTCAGGGTGAAGACAGCCCCGCTTCCCCGCCTCAGAAGGAGTAGACGGGCTAATACAGAGGAGAGCTCAGGGCAGAGCCTCACACAGCCAGCTACGGGGACTTGCAGCCCAAAAGCCCAGGGAAGCCCAGTGTGGCACGGGAGCCTGGGGCTGATGTACAGTGCTGTGCTGCCTAAAAGCAATGTCCACGTAGCCTCAAAATTACTGTTAATTAAACGTTGAATGCCTTTTACAGCTAGCAGTATAAACAGCAGCATTTATGAGAGTAGAATTATATTTTTATGTATTATGTATACGTTTTAGAGTAAATTGGTGTTCCTTTCATAATAAAAACGTAACATATTTATTCCCATCGCGTGGCAGACCAGCATTCCTATTAAAATTATTTGAGAGGCGATGGCTTTGGTATATTATTTTATGCTGCTGTTCATATCTTTGATTTATCTAATGCAGAGACTCTGGCCCAAACCCAAGCCCCTGCATGTTATCTCTACAACCTGTAAGGCCATTTTACAACAAAATCCTGAATGATAGAGTGTGTAGGAATAGGTTGTGATAAAAATCATCTTTTTTGCCTCTCAGTGAGGAAATCTGAAGAAAAAATCCCTAAATAAAGCAAGAGAGATCCGGGTTAGGCGTCGTGCACCCAGTGCTGGTGTTTGAGCCCTGGAGTGGGGAGAAAGGCCCAGGCTGGGAGGGAGCTCTCCGTTGATCCCGCACCTCCCTGGGCTCAGACACCAGCTCTGGCCTGGCCAGCACCTGCGTGACCCCTGCTGGGCGTGGGTCTTCGAGACCTGTGCCCAGGGGCCTTGTCCTCCGCTGACAGGAAGGACATGCAGAGATGGCCGGCCAGCCCCAGCCGGCTACAGCGCCGAGCAGGCTAAACCCTGGAGTGTCAGCCCCAGACCTGGGAAAAATAAAAGAGCTTTTGAGGTGCTGGTTTTGGATTTTAGAACTGCAGGAAGGGGAGGGAAGCGGTACTGTTACTATGGAAGCTCAGGAAGGAAGCAGACACCTGTTCAAGGCCACGTGTCACTAAGCGGCAGGAAAGGAACCAAGCTCCGGGTGTCCTTGAGCTCGGTGCCAAGGACCAGGGAGCCCCTGGTCCGCTGCCCAGACGGGAAGCGCGGAGGAGCTGAGAGCAGCAGCAGCCCCAGCGTGCTCCAGAGGGAGCCCAGGGAGGGGCGCCTGGGGAGAAGAGGTGGCCCCGGGACTGCTCAGTGCCTCCAGGAGGGAAAGAGCAGTGCACGGGCAGCCAAGGCACTGCGGCTCCCCGAGGCAGCTCCCGGCAGGTCCCCAAGGAACAGGGGCTCCGATGTCAGTTAAGCCAGGGAGTCTGGCCTCAGAGCAGGCAGAGCCAGGTGCAGGGGTCTGGCCAGGCCAGAGCCTGCGGAGCGGAGTGGGTGCACGGGCCCTGCGGCCTTGCTGGGACCAGAGCTGAGCCGGCTGGTGCAGCATCGCCAGGTGGCAGAGGCTGCCCAGCCCCTGTTGGCCCACTGAGAACTGGGGGTCCCCACTTCCTTACTCTGGGCCCTGCCTGCCTATCCCCAGGCCAGGCCCCCAGAAAGCGCTCACCGCTGAGGGCGGCAGAGCAGCAGCCCAGGAGCTGAGGAGCCAACCCGCCTGCCTTCTCCCTCCTCTCAGAACTTCAGACCCGGCTGGCCCGGAAGAGTGCAGCCCTCCTGGCCCAGAGGCCAGGCCGAGGCCGGAGGCTCGGTTCCCGAGGCGCGAGCCCCACCTGGTGGCTGGACCTGCTCCTGCCGCACCTCGCGGACTCTGCAGCCCAGGGCCCCCTCCCTGCCTTCCCTGCCCTTCCCTCCCTGACAGACAAGGTGGGAGAGAGAGGGACTGAGACAGATCCTGAGGACAGGTGCCCGGGTAGGGAGAGTCAGGGGGACCTCTCGGCCCGCTGGGCTGGGCTCTGGGTCAGACTCCCTGGGGTTCTGGTCCGAGCCCTTCAGACCGGGACCACAGCACCCTCCTGTGGGGACCCTGAGGATCTGTGAGTGCTGCGAGGGTCCGTCCAGGCCCCTCCCAGGCGCCGCTGTCCACCACCGCGGACGCTGCTATTACACCCCAGCCACACCGCCCTGGTTCACATCGGCCCTAAAACTGGTACTGATCCAGTTGCCCAAAGCCTCTTAAGTACAGGAAAAGGATGGATGGCGAGTAACGTGCTCAGCAAGACGAGCAAACCTTTTTACTAAATGTTAAGTGGATAAAAATCGATGCCTTGCAATACGAGTAGTAATGATGCCAAATGTCACATGATCACAACCGAGCCGATGGTTCTCTCTCTCCCTCTCTCTCCCTGCGGAATCAGGGGTGATAGTCTCCCCTCAGTAAGAGGCTACGGAGCAGATCTCTTCTGCAGAGAAAGAGAAAAAGGCGGGGATCCCTCACTTCAAGTGAGATCAGGGAGATGTGGAAAATGTGCAAAATAGAGTAGAAAATCACCGCCCGAATAATGCTGCAGCCATGTGAGCCATGAATCTGTCTAAGGACAAGGCAGTGCCACACTTCTGTGACATCCTCAAAAGAGGAAAGGCAGGTCCCTGGACAGGCTCCTTGTTAAAGTTGCAGGGGAAGAGAAAGCCGCACGGAGCCAGCAGACAGCCGTGACCCCGCCGCTGGCAGTGGAGCCGCCCCGCACGGCCTCCCTCCGCTGCCTCCCTAGCACCAGCCACGAAGGTTTCCAAAGGTGAGTGCAGGTTAATTTGTCTTTCTTTGAATTTTGTATTTTCTTTATTATTTTGTATTATATTACCAAATTTCATATGAATATTTGGGCTTGTGGAATAAATCATCTGAGTTTCCATTATTTCTTTTTCTTTTTTTGTACCGGGGATCAAACTCAGGACCTTATGCTTTTGAGACAGGCGGCAGCACCACTGAGCCAAATCCCGGGCCCCCTTTCCATGATTTCTTATGGAGAAATTCGCTTTGATGGACAGGTGCTTTGAATTACAAGCATGTTTCTGGAACGAATTATGCTGGAAAACCAAGGATCCACTGTATTCAGAACAAGCTTGGTATGTGAACCTGCTTCTTCGGCTGAGAGTTGTGTAGAGCTAGATGCAAACTGGGCCTTTTGATCAACGCTTCCTCTCCAAAGTGAGACTGGCTCAAGGGCCAGGCCCAAGCAGGATTTCCAAGGCTTCCTATGATAACAGAATTGGCTTGCTTCGCAGATCTTGATGTTGATTAGCTTGAAAAGGCACAAGTTTGGAAGGGTTGAGTTAAATCAAATATGACATTAAAATATGTATCTTCTGTTTTTTCCTTTTTGGTTTTGTTCTGTTCTGTTTTTGAGCCAGGGTGTCACAATGTAGTTCAGGCTGCCTTGAACTCACTAATAGCCCAGTCTGGGCTCAAACTTGTAGCAATCCTCCTGTCTCAGCCTCCCTGAGTGCTGGAACTACAGGTGTACGCCATGGTGCCCAGGTGTTTTTATTTTAAGTGAGCTGATTTGGCCTTAGTGGGCTGGATCTCTTAAGTCACACAGAATGGAGAACTCAGCAGTGATTGTCTGCCTTGGCTGGCAGTCTGTCACCATCACAAAACACCCAAGGGACGAAGCTTAAAGAGGGGAGGGTTACTTCGGCCCAAGGTCGCTTGGCCCTATGGGTGAGACAGGACATCACACCAGGGAGTGTGTGGTAGGAAAGCTGCCTGCCTCGTGGTGGACAGGAGGCAGACAGAGAGGGCCTGGGGTCCACCCAGCACCAGGCCCTCAGCAGGGCTGCTCTTCCTGTCTCCACGCCGCCCAAAGAGACCGGCAAACTGCAAATCCATCAGTGCCTTTGGCTGGAACCCACCATTCAAGTATGGCCCCAAAGCCCTGCCTCTGAATGCAGCTACACCAGGGACCATGCACAGGAGTCTTTGGGGGGCCCCATGGATTCACCCCAACACTGGCTCCCTAATGCCCCAGCCACTGTGTGGTCCACACCCCCAGCAGGCTATCCCAGGCACCCCATCGGGACAGTGACAGGTGATTCCTGATCTTCCTTGAGCTCACAAGTGTCCCAGCTTGTCACAATGAGCAGCATGCTGCCCCCCGTCCCCCCCCGCCCGTCACAAGTCCCTGCAGACAGACCTGGGCTGCCTTCTTCTCGGGCCACACGGTCTGCCCTGCATTCCCACCTTGCCGAGGGCGAGCCACGGAAGACACCTCATTACCTCCATCTTCAGATGAGTGACAAGAAACACGACCAGGATCACTCAGATTTCAAGCAGAAAACTCAAGCCTGAGCTTGCCTGAGCTCGCCTGGCTGGCCAAAGTCTGGGGCCAACAGTGGCCCAATGCACCTGGACTGCTGACTGACACCAAAGTCACTGCTGTTAGAGAACAAGAAACTGCCAGGCGCAGTGGTGCACACCCATAATCCCAGCACTTGGAGGCTGAGGCAGGAGGATCACTTCAAATTCGAAGCCAGCCAGGCTCCATGGTGAGTTTAAGGCCAGGCTGAACTACATAAGAAGACCCTGTCTCAAAAATCCAAACAATAAATAAAGGAATAAAAAAGAACGAGAAATCACCCTTAAAAACACGCTGATCATGTGGAACACTAAGGACAGGGAGAAGGACATAACATGCGCTCATTAAATGTTAGCTGTCATCATTGTTAATATTCCAAATTATTTTTCTACTGTTGCCTAAAACACAAACAGTATCTTCCTACAGCACAGGCTCTAGCAACCCTTCAGGAGTCTGTCCCCGAGCGAGAAAATAGATTCACAGTTTCTGTTAAATGGCAAATGGATCTTAATTTTGAAGCTATAAAATGCAGCTGTAAAATACACAGGAAAATAGCTCAACTCTTAAGAGGAGAAATCACAGGATTGTTGCAGTGATGAAAAATCGATGCTGAGCAGGCTGGGAAAGCTGCACTTCAATCAGTTTCCAGGGATCTGGGTGTGAAAACAGATTATCCTGCCTTCCAGGCTGAGGGTGTCTGACTGCAGGGTCTGAAAAGTCGGCCTCGGTCTCACTGTCTGCGTCGGTGGCCCTCCAAATGGGCTCCCTCGGTCTCCTCCGCATTATGGGAACAGCAGCCAGCAGGGGCTTCACCTCCAGCTGCAGGCTCGTGGGGCTGGCGCTGCCCGGGCCTGGCTGCAGGGACAGCTGGAGCCCCAGGGCCGGGCTGGTGTGCGAGGTCCAGGGCACGGCGGCCGAGGGAGCAGCTGGGCACCCGTAAGCAGCTCTGCAGGCAGCATGGCGCAGGGCGAAGGACAGGGAGGACAGCAGGGAGGGCGGCAGCCAGGGAAGCGGACAAGGAGGGGGACGGCAGGGCCAGGGGAGGCAGGATGGCCACACACGATGCATGCCTGAGCTCACTGCCATGTGGGGACACCGCTCAGGGCTGGGGAGGGACGCCTGGCCTGCACTCTGCTCGCCAAGCAGCTGGCTCCCGAGGGCGGATCCCCAGCTGCCCTTCCTGAGCTACACCCCGGACTCCCGGCCCCAGCAGCCTCTGGAGCTTCAGGGAAAGGAAACGCTGTGGGCGGTTCCAGCCTCGCCAGTGAGATGCATGTGCTTTTCCCTGGCGCCACCCGCCACCACGGCGGAGGACACCTCCCATGTCTCCTGGGTTCTGTGGGTCCAAGTGGCCGTGGCCAAGCAGAGCCACAGGCCTGAGGGTGACCAGCTAACCAGGCACAGGCTCATCCCTTAGGCTCCCGCGATGTGGGCGAATCCAGCCCCGTGAGGCGTGCGACCAGGGCCTCCGGCCTGCTGGCTGCCACCTGGGTCCCCACTGCACTCCCAGACGCTGCCCAAACGGCTCTGTGTGCCCCCATCCCCCCGCCCTGAACGCCTCTGCCTGTGACCTCTAGCCTGCCTTTAGAGGTCAAGTGTCTTTATGGTCTCAATTAAGGAATAAAAGCTGAAGCAGAACTACTAGCTCTAGATTTAGCATGGACCTAAGGAGCGTTCATGGTCATCCGTATATTATTTACAGTATATACATATTTTATACATTTAATTTGCAAGCCCACTGGTCTGCCATGGACACCCGTTAATAGATGAAATGCTGGTGCTAACTTCTTGGTGGGTACGGACTTGAAATTCATCTTTCCAAGGCTGACAGCCACCCCATGGGTAAGGTCATTCTTCCCTGGCCGAACACAGCCACAGTCCCGGACTTGGGGAAAGCGTCTGTTTGTTTTTAAAGCATTAGTTCCCAGCCTGCACTGGGTAAAGTCAGATCGCGACAACGAAGAAAAGAAAACCAAATCGTGTGCGACATCCTGTCTAGCACATGATTTCAGAGTGTTAAGAAATGCAGCCCAGCCCAGGTGAAACCAGAAACATTCTATTTCTTAAAACATCCTTTGTAAAACTAACACCAAAGTGTTGGAATCAGAAGTCATCTGCAGTAAACTGGGAGCAGCAGGCCTCAGGGACCACTGCTCCCCGAGACTCTGGATTTGCACCAAAACTGCCCTGAGAGTAACCAGACCCTGTCCTCAGGGATGGGACATCACCGTGTAGCACAAGACCGTGCTGTCTGGCTGGCGCTGCCCTAAGCTGATCCGCTGATCTGGTCCTCACAGGCTGTGCTACTGGCAGCAGTAAGCCTCGGTGGCCCACCAAGTGCCCTGCAGCTGCCTCACACTCCGCTCTGCACTCTTTGGGCTCCAGGCGGACCTGGCACAAAGACGGGCAGTGGTCCTTCACGGGTCCCTGCTGACCCCAGGCTGCAGTGTCTGTCACAGCCGCCTCGGAGGACAGCAAGCACAGGCTTCCTCCACTCCAAGAAGCAACCCGCACCTCATTTGTGCTCAAACCTGTGACTGCAATAAGCTGGAAGTGACAGGAGTGACCTATGATTATATTTCAGGAAAGGGAAGCCAACCTGGACCCAGCATCTACTATGGGACATTTTAACGACTGAGTTTTCAAATGTCCGAGTCCTTATAATCTTTAAAATTAACTCCCTGTGTTTCTGAATGAAAGCCCGCTCTCACGTCTGGGAGGCGCCCTTGCGGGGAGTCTGGTTGTGCTGAGCCCACGGTGCTGACCAACGCACCGCTGGGTCCGCCTTCCTTCCTGCTCCGAGCCCAGGGGGCGGGGCCAGGGCGTGGGCCAAGGGTCTCAAGCGCAAATGTAGCGGGCACTGGGAGTGCACCGAGTGCATCCCTGGATCCAGGAACCGAGTGGCGCCTCACACAGGGCAGCGCGGCTGTGGGCTTCCTGGGAGGCCGAGAGGCACCCGGCCCACAGGTCACAGGGAGGCCGAGACCCACAGCCCCCGCCGGCTGCACTGCCTCTGGTTTGTTTTCCGATGTTCATGCGTGCTTCTCCTCCTACCCGAGGGTGCACGGATTCTTACCTTTGTTTCAGGGACGGGAGCCAGGGCAGATCTGAGCTCCCTTGGCCTCCTCCCTGGCCACACCTCCCAGGCACTCAGGGCAGCAGCTATGGCTGCTCAGGCTGCACCTGGGGCACCGAGGTCACTAGGTGTGGTGCAGCAGGGCGGGTGCCCTCCACACATGGGAAATGCACAGGGCGCGAGTGGACAGGGCTCACCTGAGGGTCTGCAAACACCAGCCCCGTGACTTCCTGCGTCACCACGGCAGCGTTCCCGGGAATGTTCCTGGCCAGCACGGGCACCCCCAGATCCATGGCCTGAGGGGGAGAGGAGAGGCCGTTAGGGGCTCAGCCACAGCCAGCAGGTCCAGCCCGCAGAGACTTCGGCTTGGCCGGGCTCCTGCAACTCAAAGCTCAGCCCTCGCCACCCAGCACTGCGTCTCCCCAAGCATCTGAGCTTCAGCCGCTTTGTGCGTTTGGAAGCTGTGGGAAGGGAAAGGTCTGCCGACATCACGACTGCCACAGGGAAGCTCGTCTGTGAGTGACCCTGACCCTCCAGGGGCTGCTCGGCACCTTCATGTCTGGTGACCACCACTCCTACCCCCAAGGGGGACTCTGTCTCACCATGGGCACCTGGACTGAGGGAGTGGTGTGCAGGCAGAGGGCAAAGCAGACACAACTTGTGGCTCCCATTATTCCTGAGGCAGCTGTCCCCGCGGAAGGTCGGGATTGTCACGTGATGTCCCACAACCTGGCCCCTGCTGGCCCGGAGACCAGGACAGGACACCTGAAGCAGAGCATGGCATGGCCGGGGCCACATTTTCCTGCTCCTTCTGCAGACTGGGGACCTGACCCAGGGGCACAGAGCTGCCCGGCCTGCAGCGGCTCTCCCTCAGCTATGGGCACCTGGGCTGGCCTGCTCTGTGCAGGTGCCTGCCAGAGGACAGGGGACCCTTTACACCCGCGTATGGAAGCAGGACCAGCTCCACCATCAGCAAACCCCTAATTCAGCTCTTGGGCAAGTTCAAGGCCACCCTGAGTGACTCAGTGAGACCCTGTCTCAAAAAACTTTTGTCCTAAGCAGTGTCATTGGCTTTCAGAAACATGTCATTCCCTACCTCAGCCACTCGGGCAAGGGCCCATTCGGAGCAGGGTGGGACATGGTGCATGCTCCGTAGGGATTAAGCCCCTGCAGTCAGGGTAGTCAGTGTCCGAGGTGTACACAGCACCGTGAGAGTGGCAGCCTCAGACTCACCAAGCCCTGGCCCCAAGCCCGTGTGTCTCCTCGGCCCAGGTACCAGTGCACTGGCGCCCCTACTGCCTGTTCCCACGGCCTTGTGGTGCCCACCCTCGGGTCACCCAGGACTAAACCATGCCCGGCTGCCTGGCCAGCCTGCAGCGGGTCTCCCAGCTTCTCTCCGAGTCCCACCTGCATCCTGTGGGTTCAAGATTGGGGAAGAAGGCAGCGGGCAGCTCGGGCCAAAACAGCCGGGAGGATCTCATGAAGGAAAGTCCCAAGGGCTTTGCGGAGGGACAACAGGGCCAACCCAGGGGAGCACAAGATGGCTAAGGGCCACAGCCCGGACAGATCCGGGGTGCACAGAGCGAGGGTGGCAGAGTGGAGAGGAGAGACGTGCCCCGGGCCGAAGCAGGAGGCTCCAAGGCTGCCTCTCAGGACAGAGCTGGGGACAGGAGGGGCAGTGTGACAGCGCCACCCGCCTAGCCACCTGGCTGACTGCAGGGCACACCCCACAGTGACCGAGGGACACGCTCCCCACCCAGACAGGGGTGTCCCAGAGCCAGTCTCAGGCCGCTGCCGATAAGCAATCACTGAAAAGGTGAGGTCACATGCACTGTGTTCTCGGCCGACATTCCTGGGACCCAGGTTCATCGGTGGGAGGAGGAAAATGCAAGTGTGAACAGATTGCAACTGCAGGTAGTAGTGTGGACACACGGCGGGGTACATGTGTGTGCATGTGTGGGCATGTACACTGCTCTGAACACCGCTGTGTGTGCGTGCCTGTGGGTACGCGTGTCTGTGTGTGCCAGCGTGTGTGTCTGTGTTTATGTGTGTCCGTGTTTATGTGTGTCCGCGTGTGTGCATGTCTGTGTATCAGTGTGTCTGTGTGTGTCTGTGCATTGTGTGTGTGTCAGTGTGTACGCGTGTCAGTGTGTGCATCAGTGTGTCCATGTGTCTGTGCATTGTGTGTGTGTCAGTGTGTACGCGTGTCAGTGTGTGCATCAGTGTGTCCATGTGTCTGTGCATTGTGTGTGTGTCAGTGTGTACGCGTGTCAGTGTGTGCATCAGTGTGTCCATGTGTCTGTGCATTGTGTGTGTGTCAGTGTGTGTGCTGAGTCGACAGAGGCAGAGCTACTTAGGAAGACAGATAAGAAAATAATTCCGCACGTTTCTTCAATGTACGGACTTGGCTCGATAGACCCAAGTTTGAAACATGTGTGTTTCGGAGTCTTCACCCTATTGCCAGGCAGCCAGCTGAAGTGGTTTGGGGAGCTTATCAGTGAAAAACATCCCAGCAAACAGGATTTTTCCATGCTCCCGTGGGACAATGGAGCAGAATCCGAGAGGTGGGAGGCCCCTCCCTTCTGGAGCGGCGTGCGTGGACTCCTGATGAATCGTGGCTGCCCATGTCTGAATCGGTTTGATGAGATGCCCCCTCGACACTCCTCTGAAATCAGCGTCATTCAAACCCTTTGCCCAGAGGTTATTTTGGAAGATTTCAGAAGGAGCTGGCGTCGACATCTCGGGCTGGCACCTCACAGCTGCTCGCCTGCAGCGTGAGGATCTGACGGCCCCCTGGTGCACGGGCTGCTGTGGACACGAGTCACATGGTCACCGACTCCTCTGCCCCTTTCTTCAGGGGTTGGACAAACCACACGTTTACATGCAAAGGCGCACGTGGGCAGCCACCCCAATACTGGCTGGCACCCTGGAAGCACATTTTAAAGCTCCACGCAGAGCAGTGTGTCCTGGTCCGTGACCGTCGTGGGAGGAACAGTGTGGGTCGGCACCGTCACAGACCGGGCAGTGACTGGATGAAGACAAAGGCCTCACAGAGCCAGGCCACAGAGCACCTGGTGGGGCCCATGGGGCAGGGGCCCAGCTTCTACCAACCCCCTCGCATTTGTGGTTTTGAATGATGCCAGATTAAAAGAAAATATCAGAGGTTCTGGAAACACTGGGGACGCTGGTTCGAGGGACTTGGGGTCCGATGGCCAGGCGGCCTCCCTTCCATGCAGGCTTTATCACGTGTGTGTGCAGCGTGTGCTGTGTGCGCTGTCCCTGTGGGAAGCTGCCGGAGACTCCGAGTGCCCACATGCCTCAACAGGGAGAGCCAGGCTGGACGTGGCTTGGACGGGGAGCTGAGCCCTGGGTGCCCTCAGGTGCTCCAGGCGGTCATACGCAAAGGGGACATACCAGCTGGGCCTTCCCAGGAGTGGGCACGGCCAGCAGGGCTCTCTCTGCAGCCCGACCCACACACAGAAGGCACAGAGCGGGACCGGGAGCGATTTCTGGCCAGAACAGAGGACGGGACTGCAGGGACCAGTGGGCAGGACGACCTGGCTGTGCCCCTTGGTCCCCACGCACAGGGATACCCCCTCTCACTCAGGCCCTGGGGTTGCAGTGCAGCAGACCGGGAGAGCCAGGGAAGGGCAAGCCATCCTGCTTCCTGTGCCCACCTGTCCCGCCCTGGTGCCTCCTCTCAGAGGCAGAGCCTGTCTTCCTTCATCCCTTAGCGAGCTTGGGAAGTGGCACAGGGAGTGAACGGCAGCTCTGCATCCGGGCTTCACAGAGAACTGTAAACCCTGAGACCACGCTGTGCCTCCTGCTCGGCCCTGGCAAGGGAAGGCACCTGTCGGGGAGAGGAGCCGAGCAGGACAGGGGCGCCCGCCTGCCTCACCTCCAGGATGGCGGCCGACATGCCCTCCGACAGGGAGCTGTTCACCAGCGCAGAACAGCTCTTCAGGGCAGCGTGCAGGTCCCCCTGCGGCATCTCCCCGAGCAGCCGCACCCCGAGGGCCCTGGAAGACAGGGGTGGACAGTGGGTTACTGCAGTGAGCTCGTGGAGAGGGGCAGCAGGAGTGACAGGGTGACTTGGGGAGAAATGCTCCAGATCAAAAAGTAAGCATCATTAGCCAGGTGTGGTGAGGCATGCCTGCCATCGAAGCACTCTGGGAGGCTGAGGCAGGGGGATCCCAAGTTCAAGGCCAGCCTGGGCAACTCAGCAACTTGCTGAGGCCTTGACTCAAAATAAAAAAAATGAAAATGGGCTGAGGGTGTGGCTCAGAGCAAAGGCCCTGGTTCAATCCCCAGCACCACAAGAGAAAGAAGGATGGAAAGAAGAAAAGGGAAAGAGAAGGAAAGGAAGGGAAGGAAAGGAAAGAGAGGGAGGAAAGAGGAGGAAGGAAGGATTGCTGACAGAGGCTTCAGTGAGGGAGCCAGCGCAGGTGAGAAGCCTGCAGTCAGAATCCCGGTGATGGACTGGGACAGCAACAGCTGTTTCTGCTCTGCACGTGCACAGTACGAGCAGCACCTGAGCTGCAGTGATGCTTTCTGCCCTCTCCACTCTGTGATGGAGAAAAGTTTCCTAAGAATTCAGTCTTTGCAGATAATTCTAAAACTATGAATAGAGGCAGCAGGAAAGGTAATCGGAGGGGACAGCGCCGCCTTGGGGAGCAGGTGAAGGAGGCGGCCTGCCCACGGCCAGGGTGCCCCGCCTCGCTCTGCCTCTCTCCTGTATCCCTCCGTCCCGCCTCCCCACGAGCTCTCAACTCGGGGCTCCCCACACGACACAGAGCCTTCGCTGTCGGGGACACAGCTGTGTCCTGGGGCGCGGGCGCCACGCCCTCCGGGGTGGAGCCGAGCAGCCCTGCCTGAAGAGCCTGGCTGAGGTGCTGCGGTCACCATGGCACCTGAAGCGGGGGACAGGGGCAGAGGAGCAGCCCTGACCCCGCGGGAAGGCCGCTGTGGACCTCACGTGCTGCTCACAGATGTCCGCAGGAGCAGCGGCAGGTCTCCGTCCCTGCAGGCAGAGGCAGTGGGCATTCAATGCCCAGACGCCCATGGTCCCCAGAGGCGGTGGCGGCATCTCCCCCTCCCCCGCCCCACAGGTGCCAGGTGGGGCCTCTCCACCACCCTTCCAGTCGGGCCGATGGTGTAAACGTGGCCAGTGGCAATCACGCCTCCAGCATCTCCCACAGGCCTCGGCCTCTGGGACCTCTGGGAGGACGAGCTGAGGCAGCGCTGGTGTCAGCACGGCCCTCGGCCCCCTCTGCGCGCTGCCCGCTCCCCGCTCCCGCCCTTACCTCTGCACGCGGGCTCTCACTTCCCTGGAGAAGACTGGATCCACCTGAAAGGAGAGGGCTGGACTTCAGCAGAGGCAGGAAGAGCCAGCGCCTCCTCCACTTCCTGGTCGTGCTGCGGGCCGGACTCTGCAGCCCCGGAGGGAGAGGGTCAGGAGGGGACGGTGCCCTGTGTCCAGCCACACAGTGAGAAGCAGTGACCCAGCCAGACAAGGAGAAAGAGGAGGGACAAGGCCGTGCGTGGAGCGATGGCCGAACACGCCGGACATTCGCGCTTTGGAAATGGACCACAGCAGAATGCGCACCGGACTGAACCCAGGCCTTCACACTGAGCGCAACCCAGCTGTCTTCACTATTGTCACCCTGAAACAGGCTCTCACTATGGCACTAAGAGCGGTCAGGCTGGGTGGGACTCAGCATCCTCCTGCCTCAGCCTCCCAGTCTGGGAGCACAGTTGTGCGCCACCACCTGGCAAGCCACGTGTCTCAAGCCGGCCTTGTGTGAGGCACAGAGAGCAGTGAGGGCCATCGGCCTTCAAGGTTCATGAGCCCCGCGCCCCGCGAGGAGACAGAGCCCCAGCCTGGTACGGTGGGTGGGTCACAGATGTGCCCCGCGAGCAGCACTGACCCTCGGAGTCAGGCCGGGCCGCGCATTCCCATGCTCCCAGGCGGGGCGGCAGTCGGGACCCAGCTGGGGAGGATCTATATAAAACCGAGTCACAGCCACCGCCCCACACGGACCCGGAGCAGACAGCAGACCAGGGGCTGCAGGGCGTGGACTGCAGCTGGGCCTGGTGCTCCGTGGCCTCTGGCCTGGGGCCTCAGCAGCACTGTCCCCAGCCCCGGCCCCTTGAGGTGCACATCACAGCACCTGCAAACCCACGGCCACCGCGGGCTCCACTGCACCTCAGCCTCGGTGCCCACCGCCCATGTGACAGCGAGGAACGCAGCCCCAGAATGACGAACAGGCATCTGAAATTGATGCAGGCACAGCACAGAGTTCCAGACGGCCCTGCAGTGAGGCCGGGCAGTGGGCGCAAGTGCGTTTCTATCAGTGTCGTCTGCCAGCTCCTGAGACGCCCAGGAGAGGGTCGGGGGGCAGACCACATTTCCATTCTCATTTACACTTACGTCGAGCTACAGGTCACACGGGGGTCCCACCAGCCCAGGGACTTTGCTCTCTCCCGAGAGGAAATGCTCAGGTGCCCTTGCTGACCCCAAACTGCTGAGACACGATGTCCGAGCGCTGTCCCAGGGGCTGGTGGAGTTGGTCTCATCCACACCCTGCAGCCGCACGTCCCCGAGCAGGCGCTGGGTGAGCGGCCTGCACAGGCCGTGCAGAGACCTCCAAAGGGAAACCTTCACAGCCAACGGCGACCTCCTATCACTGTTGTGTGCCTGAAGAGTTAGTTCTCAACAGCACTTCCCCCACACCAAACCGTGCAAAGCCTTTGCAGCCAACCCCTTCGCTCGGGCAGGAATCCTGACCTCACTGCCCTCTTGCACATGAGGACACTAAAGCCCAGAGAGGCTGTGTAACTTCCCCGGGATGGCATAGCTGATACTCATATTCAGGCAGAGCTTGCATTCTTCAAGCCAGGGCCCCCACCCTGCCTCTGTGGTTTCTGCCCTGTGGGTTTCGTGGACAGCTCACGAAGCTCACGTGGCTGACAGGATACCTACCGAGCTTCCCTGTCTGTCCCTGCTGGGTTCTGACCTCTCCCACAGCGTCACCCCGTCCAAGACCTGCTGGTCCTCACCGGGCAGGCAATGCACCTCCCTGAGACGCTGTCCACCTTGGTCCTGCCCAGAAGTGGCTCCTCCTCCCCAGCTCTCCGCCACCCGCCACCCTGGGGTTGCCTCCTCGCCCCATCCTCTTCCCAGACCCCAACCTCACAGCGCGTGCCACACAGTTCAGTGCATGAGCACCACTGCTAAAGTGATGATTTCCAATTACCCCACCTCTAATTCCTTCTGCCTGATCACCCCACACAACCAAAGCACATCCTAACCCTAGCAATGTAAAAGAAGCCATCCAAGGAAAACCTTCTCCAGGCTCCTTATATTAATTTGCACATGAATATTTTACTTACAGTATGTGTAGCGAGAAGTCCATCTCTCTAATTCTATCAGCATGCATCCATCTCCTGATTAACTATTCAGGGAATGATACTTTTTCCAGGAAACAAATCAAGTTTTATAAGCTCGCCAAAATACCTAGCACTTTGACTGAAATGCAGCTGACAGTCCAAGAACATCCCTTAAGATGAAATGAGAAACTGCATTAAGTGTTGCTGGTTTCATCTCCCACCTCTGTTAACTTTCAAATCTCTTAGTGAAGCCAAGGACAACAAAGCACAAGACAGAGTGGATATTTTTATGCAATAAAAGCACATGTGAAATTTTTAAAGGCGAAAGCATCATGAGCAGCAAAGAAAATTCTCACGCCCTCCTTGCAAGCATGTGTATTTTCTAGCAGAAGATAGTCCCAAGTCCCGGGCTTTGGGGAAATCATCTCCCACAGAAGAAGTTACCTGGAAAGTCGTGCAGCTGCCCTGCTCCACCCAAGTGTTCTCCCAGAAATGCGCCTCACCCCCCGAGGGACGTTCCCCGGACTGGGGCCCACGCACACTGCCTACTGAGTGGGTAAATGGGAGATGGAAGGGGACTTTATGGGGGATGGAAGCCGGGCCACATGGGGCTGACGAGCCCTGAGCTGGAGGCTGCTTAGTTCCACGAGAAACCTGAGCCAGGGGCTCTTCTCTTAGCTCGAGTGTTTAACAGAGTGGGGGACTCAGCCCAGGGTGGCTGAGTCAGGAAGACCCTGTCTCCAGCTCCAGAGTCTGCAACACGCACTCCAGCCTCTGGCACGTGGACTGCGGAACTCGTGTGGCCATTGGGATGGTGCTGCCCAGGCCACAGGAGCCACGAGAGTGACAAGGGCGACTCCACATGGGAAGGGACCCAGCCGGGGCAGTGTCGCTAGGACTTGGCCCAGAAATGCGCACATGGATGGTGTCTGCCAACTGGGACACCGCAGTCTTGGAGCATCCGCTGTGCTGCACCGTGGACGGCTGGCAGAGTCGATAAATGCGGATTCAAAACCGGAAGGGTGATACTCAAAGGAAAACTGGAGGGGCCGGCTGCCTCAGGGACCCTGGGAAATGGTTGGTAGCAACGTCCACAGGACTCACACCCAGCCCCAGTATCCAGGTAAAACAAAAACCCCAGCCCGTCATATGATTCACTTATGTCTGTCTATATAGAGTCCACCAAAAAAGCATGCATTGGGAAAAGAAAACCTTGTGTAAGTATTTAGTACTAAATTCATGGAGACAGCCTGGATTAACACAAGTCACCTTTGCTCAGAGTGGTGGCCGTGGGCTTCCAGACTGCTGCTGAGGCGCGTCTGCATTCTTTCCTACACTTTTTTTTTTTTGGTAATGGGGATGGAACTCGGGACCTTTCGCTTGCCAGGCAGGAGGCGGAACCACTGAGCTAAATCCCCCGCCCGCGTCTGCATTCTTTTGGCCAACTGTGTTTACAGACAGACAGACGAGCAGAGCAGATGTAGCCAGCGTGGACACAGACGCGGACGCAGAGGTGGATGCAGAGAGGCTGGACACAGGCCCACCTGGCCGCGGCCTCGCCTTCAGACGGCAAGGGATGCGGCCCCGCCCTGGGTCCCGCCCACAGATGGGCGTGGCCGCGAAGGCAGGGCAGCCCTGTGCTGTGGAGCTGGGCAGGCGGACCGGAGACCTAGGGGAGCACCCTGCCCTTTCCCGGGAAGGGCGTGGGCGGACCCTGGGGGCCAAGCCTGAGAGCCCCGTGGTCCCATCCACCGGGAGGGCGTGCAGTGCCCTCCTCCCGAGTGACTCCTGAGGCAGAGACAGCGGGCACCGAGTCAACTTCTGTCCACACCTCCTCCCGGCCGAGCCCCGAGTGGCCTGCCGCAGAGGCTCTGCAGCGGGGACGCCTGTCCTTCTGGGAGGCAGTCGTGTGAGGCTGACTTCCGGGCCCACGGTAACCCCCACAGCTGCGGCCCAGCCCTGGGTTCCAGTCACGTCCTTGCGCTGACATCGGGCTGAAGGCATCTGTGCTGCTTTGGGGACCGGACCGCCTGGCGTCTCCTGGGGCCTCCTGGAGGACAGGCTCATGGAGAGGGGGCCTGCAGGGTCCCGCTGCTGCGGCAGTCGCCCCCGGGCGGGCGGCAGGCTGGGCTCTTCTGACCAAGGGGAAAGGTGTGGATGGCCTCACCCTCCAGATGCCTGGCTCACTCACCAAGCTCGCAGCCGTGAGCCGCAGGGGCTCAACCCGCTCTGCCGCAGCCACTAAAGCGAGAATCTTAATGCGGCCCGAGGCGGGGCCTCTGACACACTCCTCAAAGCGGCACCCGCTCACAGGGCCCAACCCTGCAGTAAATGCTCAAAGTCAAGTGGAAAATGGCTTTACGCTCCTCCTCGCTCGGCTCAGAAGCGAGGCTACATTGAATGCTTGACTCGGAAAATTAACAGCGCTTGGGAAATTCACCGTTGAGGACGGTAGAGCGAGTCTGAGCGAGTCTGAGCGCGGAGGTCGAAAACAGGCGGAGAAGGTCCCACCCGGGGGGCAGGTCCACCCCGGGGCGCAGCACGAACACCAGCCTCCTGGGGCCGCACCAGTGGGGCGACGGGCACGCAGACCCCGCCAGTGCGGCCAGGTCACCGCAGCCGCACAGCCCATGGAAAAGCCAAGTACGGGGTAAACAGCAGCATTTCAACAATGACACAGACAAGGCCGAGATGAAGCTCCATGGCCGCGCCATGACTGCCTGGCAAGCGGAAGGGCCTGAGTTCGATTCCTGATACCAAGGAAAAAAAATGAAACGGAACACAATAGCAGAACATGGCAAAATCTTTAAAAAGCATCAGAGTTTAGGGCCAGGGACGTAGCTCAGTGGTGCCGTGCCTGCCTGGCAAGCACAAGATCCTGAGTTTGATCTCCAATACCAAAAAAAAAAAAAATCAGAGTTTAATACAGATTCTTCCCAGAATATGTGTGTGTGTTGGGTTACTTCTGTGCATGTGAGTGTGTACGTGTGTATGCAGTGGGCTACTCTGCTGCGTGCACATGGGGGCAGCAGGTTAACTCCCATGTGCATGTGTGGATGTGCATGTTTCTGTATCTGTGTGTCTGTCTGCCCATGCAAGTTTGTGAGTGTGTGCACAGTGGCTTACCCCATGTATGTGTGCAGCAGGTTGTGTGTGTACATGTGTGTACTGTGTCACCACCTACTGTGGGCTGGAAGGGGCACCACTGGTCCCGAGGGCCACTGGCACACGCCCCCCTCTTATCTCAATGCTGTGCTTGGTGACATGAACCTGGGAACGGTGACATGAGCCGTGGGGACAGCGTCTACACCGCAGGCGCCGCTGGAGGCCAAGCGTGTGCCAGACACCACTGCTACAGCTGAAAGACAAGCGAGACGAGGCGCTGCCGGGGGGAACCATCGGACCAGGCACGGCCACATTCTGTCCTAAAGACAGGCGCAGAAGGAAACCCGCTGTCGGAAGGGTTTGTAGCTCTTCGGGCTGCCGTAGAAATTCAGTCTCCACCTGCTCTGCATGCTGAGATGATGTCTAGGTTCGTGGTGGGGCCGGTTTCCCCTGAGCTTGGAGAGAGAGCTTAGAAGCGGCAGGGACGTGGGCGGGTGCTGGGCCCACAGCTGCAGCAGAGGCCTGGCGAGGCAGCATGGGGAGCAGGCGGGGTCTGGACACCTCGTTGTGCTCCAGCCTGGAGCCAGGGGGCCTGCGCGGCCACAGGTGTGTCGTGGGAAGCCAGCTCAGGGGTTGACTAGGGACAGCTGAGCGCACAGCTGAGGAGAGACTCTCCAGCGACTCCTCTCTCTGCTGTGTCCTCTGCTCCACCGGCCACTGAGCTCACTGGGCTGTGGTGCAGGGCCAGCGCTGGCTGTGGGGCCCCAGGGTGCAGTCCAGTTGGGGGGTCCCAGCTGGGACACATCAGAAACACCCCCACTCTGCAGGTGGACAGTCAGAGGGGGCAGGCTCTGGTTGATTGACAGCTACATCTGGGGTTGTCCTGGACACTCCTCTGCTCCTGGACATGCCCATCCTGACTGAAGCAGGCTTGACTTTGAACCACCTTGGATTTGGACCATTAGCAGCTTTGAATTTGGACAAATCAGCAATCTTAACATTGGACCAATCAGCGGGCTTGAATTTGGGAGAATCAACAGTTTCAAGCCTGGACCAATCAGCGGCCTTGAATTTGGGCCAATCGTCAGTCTCAAGCTTGGACCAATGGCAGATGAACCTGCCCCTCTGCTGCTCTATATAAGCAGTGCCCCCTCAACTCTGGGTTAGTCTAGGAAAGGAAGCTCTGTCCCCTGGGCTGCAGCACAGGGGCGGCTCCAGCCTCCATTTCTACCCTGATCCTGGCTGCTGCTCACGAGGCCATGCCACACACTGGGCTCAGGACCGTCTAGTGAGTGCATCCTTCCAGAAGGTGGAAGAAAGAAGAGGAAAGGAAGAAAATGGGCATCGTGTAAGGTATGCAGGTGTGCACAGTCACTTGGTGCTCAGCGCGGGGAAGGTGGGGCCAGCCTGGAGCGGCCTGCTGGTAACACACGGTCACGCCCACCCTGAAGCAGCCCTTGGGCTGCAGCTTCTCTCCCGGGTAACACCCAGCACCCGAGTGCAGAGCGCAGGCACCTGCCTGGCGGGACTCATCCCCGCGAGGGATACCGCAGTCTCTGCCTTCCCCCAGGTCCCAAGAGGAGGAAAAAGAAGTATTTCAAAAACAAGAACACAGCTGGGTGTGGGCGCACACCTGTGATCCCAGCACTGGGAGGCAGGCGGATTGCCATGAGTTCAAGGCAGCCTGGACTGCATAGTGACACTCTGTCTCAAAAAACAAAGAGGTAGGGCCAGGGATTTAGCTCAGTGGCACCATGCCTGCCTCAAAAGTGCAAGGTCATGAGTTCTATCCCTGGTACCCAAAAAAATCCAAACAGGTAAACAGCCAGTTGCAGCGGTAGTTGCTTATAATCCCAGCTAATGGGGAGGCTGAGGCAGGAGGATTGCAACTTTGAGTCTTAGACAATTTAAGGAGATCCTGCCTCAAATAAAAAAGACTGGGGGTATAGCTCAGTGGTAGAACAACTGCAGGTTCAGTCTTCAGTGTCAAAATGAATAAGTAATAGGCAAACAGAGGCCGCGGAACCAGCAGTATGCTCCGGAAGGAAACAGCAGGAACGGCTTGTTTTTCACAGAGTGCAGCTGAAGGAGCCAGGATGGCCGACAGCACCCGCTGCTGCTCCTCGGGGACCAGGTGGCAGTGAGGCCAGGACTCGCTCAGGGGCTCTGTGCTCTGAGGCTCCTCCTCCTTCCTGCCGACCCCTCCCGCACCTGCCAGTCTGACTTCCCCGAGAGGCTTCTGCTGCATGTTTGGTGCTCTCCGTGTCCCCCACTCGCCAGCTCCCCACGGGTTTTCTGGAGAGGAAACTTGATGTAGGGGACTCCAGCGGAGACCTGCCGCCTCTGTCGACACTCGGGGAAGCGCTTCCCGATCTCAGCTGCTGGGCCGGCTCCCGCATGTGTGGCGTCTGAGAGCTGAGCCATCTGCTGGCCTGCTTCTTTAACATTTGCCATGGGGTCTCTTTAACTTATCTTTAAAGGGGGAGTTCCTAGTTGGAAAGTGTATCACGTGCTATAAGTAGAACATCGTGATAAAAATAAAAACCAGGAAAGAGACAACCATGGTGTGAAATTCTTCCTGCCTTTGCCAGCCTGTGGCTCCAAGCCTGAAGCTGTCTCCTTGGTTAGCAAGAATTTGAGCTTCAGACTGAAACTTTCTCCTCCAGTCATGCTCTTCAAAGGATGGAAAGAAAATTAAAAAGAAAACAATGATTGCCACCATGGGACACAATGTTAATTACTGCACTGGGGATGAGCTTGCTGCTCCCAGAAGGCTGGCACTTGGGTGTGTCTGTGCACGTGTGCGTGTGGTGTGAGCATGTATTGTGTGTGCACATGTGTGCCTGTACCAAACACACTTGGTGGATTTAGGAGGACTCTTCCTATGTGACATCTGATGCAGTCCACACATTCTCGCCCTGGATGCTTTTATCGGCTTCTCTGGCCTCTTTCCATGTAAATGTTTATTTCCTAAAGCCTTGGAGAAGACAGGAAAGTGCTGATTGCTTCCTGGTCCCTTGGGAACTGGAAAACTAGAGAAACTACACAGGAGGAAGGCCGGACAGGCTCAGAGAAATTATGCAGAACCTTGCTTGCTGGGATTTTTGGGTACATCCCTGTGCCAAGTGAGTGACAGGGCGACACACGTCCACGTGTGACGCTCACAGAGTGGGTAGGAGAGGGGTTCAGGTGTGGTGGGGGGATTCCCCTGCCCACGCAGGCGGGACCACCCAGCCCATTTGGGCTGCCAGAGCCACACACCCTAAAGCAGGCGCTGAGTCACCTGACACTGACCACCCATGGCCCGGCAAACTCGGGGTCAGCCAGGTTCCTCCGGTGCCCAGAAGTCACCTTCTCCTACGTCCTCGAGTGGTGGAAGGGGCCAGGAGCTGTGGGCCTCCTGTGAGGACCCTAATTCCTCCACGAGGCTCCCACCCCTGACCTGGCCACCTTCCAGAGGCCTGGCCGCCGGCGCCATCGCATTAGGGGATGGATTTGATTTCAGTGTAGGGGTGTGGGGGGCACAGGCCCTCACATAGAGACTGGGAGAGGAAACTGCTGCCCACATGATTTCCTTTCCCAAGTGCCTGGAGCAAACTCGCGGTGCTCCTAAGGGATGCGTGGTGCACCCGGCTCCCTGGGGGGCACACAGGGAATGGAATGTTTGCCCGGCTGGAAAATGTCCACCTGCACCGGCCTCGGCCGGGGGCCATCCGGGAGCCCAGTTCACAGCAACTGCCACCATCATCAAGCTGAACGACCTCCCTGGAGTGGCCCTCACATGGCTGGGACATAGGCCCCTGACTCAGCTGTGGCCCGAATCACTCTCTGAGCAGCTTAACTCAGGTTCAAGGATACATGGGTCCACACGTGCCCTGTGCACCAAGTCAGCCCTTCCCTTCGCGCAACCTGAAATGACCCTGCTCTGCAACCACTCTCTGCTTCTCTGGGAGTTTATTAGTTGTCCTTTGCAGCAGTAAGTTTGTTGTAAAGATTAATTATAATGTTCTTTACAGTAAATACCTGCAGAGATTAGCTGCAGTTGTAATGATGTTTAACCTTGGTCTGGTTGCCTTTTTTAAAAGGCAAACTGACTTCATTTACTTAAAAATGAGGGAAGAGCCAGGTGTGGTAGCATACACCTGTGATCTCAGCACTCGGGAGGCTGAGGCAGGAGGACTACTGAGAGTTCAAGGCCAGCCTGGGCTACATAGTGAGCTCGAGGCCAGCCTGGGCTACATACTGAGACCCTGTTTCATAAAACCAACAGAGAAAAAAAAAAGAGAAGAAAGCCCACTTAGCAAGATGAGTAACGTAAACTATTTTAGAAAATACATCAAAAGTATAAAAAAGCAGAGAGAGCGGAGACAAGACCCCAGCACAGGGACTTACTTCCGGACCCACGATCACCATGTAGACGCTGGGCTCTTCTTGGTGCCATTCTTGGGAAGAAAAAAAGGAAAAAAACACTTTAAAAATGTTTCCAATTCACAGCTGGGAACACTATTAAGTTTAATAGAAATTATTCCATAATAGACATTATTTCACAGCACTTTGCTTTCATAATATTAGCTGACTTAAACTATATTTACTTAGAATTCATATGCTTCATGTTTTAAGTTTAAGATTTTGTTTTCTATGGTGCTACACATTATCCAGATTTCTAATGCTGGATAAGTAGGCCTGTTGCAGTTTATACCTAGATGTCCCCCCAAACCCTCACATGCTCATAGGTTGGGCTTTTGGGAAGTGATTGGATCATGGGGTGTGATACACATCACTGGATTAGTCCACTGGTGGGTTTACAGCTGGGTGTGATGTTGGGAGCTGGAGCTGGTTGGAAGAGGTGGGCACTGGGGTGTGGCCTGACAGGGTCTGTCTCCCTCCTCCTCCCTTGATCTCTCTGCCTCCTGCCCTCCCTGCTTTGGACTGTTTCTCCTCTTTGATACCTCTCTGCCATGCCATTCTGCCTTGGAGCCAGCTGACTATGGACTGAAACCTCTGCACACTGTGAGCTAAAATAAACCTCTCCTCTTTAGAGTTGCAGGTGCAGGTACTGGGTCTCAGGATGAGAAAATAACAAAGACGAGGACTAATATTCAGCACAACCCAGAACAGACTGTAGAAGAAACTGAAGAGAAATGAACTAACGCAGCCAGGGTGTTGTACAAGGGGTGTGTGCAGGATAGGTCAGTATAAAATGCTTTTATTTTTCTTTCTTCTCTCCTATGTATCTTTTTCAAATTTATTTATTTTTAAATTTTATTCAATTCATTGTACTTTTATTATTTTAACATTTGTAAAAATTATTTTGGTCTTGTAATTATTTGCCATGTTTCCAGCTTCCTCAGTACCTGCGAACATAGGAAAGCAAAAAACTTAACAGAAATTTCTACACAGACCTACTGATCCTTCCAGTTAGCTTCCTGGTTGTTTCCAAAGTTGCAATCTCAAAACACTTCTACTTGTGTGCAAAGAATAAGAGAAAAACCTCAAAGTCCTGAAGTGTGGGCTCAGCACTGAGACTCTCCACGCCCAGGTGTGATTCCAGAAACCCACCTGAAAATGCGTCCACCAGGTACAGAGGGTCCTTCACGCGCCGCAGCCCACACACCAGGAGGAACACATGCAGCTGGTCAGCGCTCTGGTAGATCTCTGCAACACAGGGTGTGGACATGTCAGCAGGGAGGACGCTCACTGCTGGGCCCATGGCCACAGCGTCTGTCCACACATTTCCTCTCCTGGCCTTGAGGCCAGCTTCCCCGCTGGGAGCACTACCCTATTGGCGTGAAGCTTCACCTCCACAGCCACAGGGAAAGACAAGGCCTAGCAGAGCTGACCCAGCCAGCACCAGCATGGGAGCCCAAGGAAATGCCGGCACCCAGTTCTAGATGGGGAGAAAACTTCCTTGATGAAACTAGAAGCTGGGTGTGGTGGTGCACACCTGTAATCCCAGCTACCAGGAGGCTGAGGCAGGAGCACTGCAAACTCAAGGCCAGCTTGGGGAACAACTTGGTAAAACCCTGTATCAAAATAAAATAAATAAACAAGGGCTGGGGATGTAGCTCAGTGGTAGAGGTCCTGGCTAGCCTGCACAGAACCCTGGGCTTGAGCCCCTACACAAAAAGAAATGACAGGTGACTTACATACTAACGTATGCTGGAGTTCACACATGCACAGACAAGTCCACACATCTAGGGAACGTGTGTCCACAGGTAGGGAAGCATACTGGGAATAAAATATCACATGACACTTCACGCACAAACAAGTTTGATTTGTCCTTTATACCTCAAAAAAAATTGGTACAAAATTTAAAATAAGAGGCTATGTCAATATATGTAAAAAAGCAGACAGAAGAGGCGTAGCTTTGCTGGATGGAAAGCTGTGACATAAAGCTGGCTGTGGATCCCAGGCTGTGCAGTGCCCTCTCACACCCCGGCCTCCGGGCTGCCTGAGACCTCCACTGGCGGGGAAGCCGGGTTCGTGACCTGGCCCTGGCCCTGGAGGCCTTGTGGCAGCCCTGTCACCTACAGCCTTGCACACACTGGTGCCCTGTGACAGCCCGGCCACCTCCCCAGGAGCAAGACTTTGTGGGGTGACACCGACCCTGCAGGTGAGCCCCAGATCCACGGTGACTGTGCTGGACCTGCAGGGCCCCAGTCGCCTGCGAATGTCCACTGAGCCCAGAGGACGCATGTGGAGCAGACAGGAGCCATGGAGCTACGCCACCACACCACAACAGCATCCACCACAAAACCCAGAGGCAACCAGGGGACTCTCTGAGCCAATACAGCTTGGGTTGGTTTCTTACAGCTCACTAGAGCCCTCCCTCAATTCTTCAGCAACTGCAACCTGCACAGCTGGCCACGGAATCACGCCAGTTCAAGGCTCTCTCCTGCACGTGCTTCTGCCCATCACTCAGGGCAGGCCATTTCCTTTTTCCTTGCTTTTGTAAGTCTTGGACAACAACATCCCTAGTCTGATGCTGGCGAGGCACATTGACACCAGCTGAACACCAGTGGAGAAAACTCCTCCTGACATGGACAGATGCAGATGTCTCTCTCAGCAAAGCCTCAGAAACCATCACAGGGCTGAGGGGTGGCTCAGTAGTGAGCACTTGCCGAGCATGCCGAGGCCCTGGGTTCCAACCTCAGCAGTGCCAAATTAAAAAAAAAAAAAAATCATCATGGTCCCTAAATTAACCGCGAACAATTACATATTGAGATACATTTGAGGGTGTTTGCTTTTTTATCTATTTCTCCAATATCCTGAGTAGCCTGAAGCCAACCTCAGAACTTAGACCCGTGCGAGCATGTCTTGAACCAAAGCCTGAGCTAGTGGCTACACACAGATCGCAAATGTGGGTCAGAGAACTTGAGGTCAGACATTCAAGTCTGAGCCACAAACGAGAAGAGCCGAAGGAGACTGTCAAGGAGAGGACACCTCGAATGAGGAGGACAGACAGAGCTCAGCAGGTCCTGGTGGGGCCAGCGATCAGAGCGCACTCAGAGGAGAACTGGGGTCCAGCCTGGAGCTCTTGCCCAGTGTGTGTGAGGCCCCGGGTGCCAGCCAGCATCGAAAACAAATGCATTCATGAAAGTCGCGTATTAGTTACAAAGAAAATATACTATAAACCTGCACGTGGAGAAACCAGGCAGATGTCACTGAGGGAGGAATAGGGCCTCGGTGACACACACAGGTTACCTCTTCAGAAAGCAAGTGAGCCTTTGAGCTCTGGTAAGGACAGCTCCGCTCCTCAGGTGCTTCGCAGACATGCGTCTTGTTCATTGATGCTGCCAGTGTTGGCTACTCAGCAGCAGCTTCAGCTGGGCCAGCAGAAGCTGGGAAACTCGGCCCTGGCCCTGCGCTGCTCCAGATCCCTCGGAGAGGCACCAGGAGGGGCAACCCACGGGGGCAGCAGATCTGCGACTCTCATGAGATCATGGAGAGGACTGCAGCCCAGACCCGGGCGAGCATGTGAGTCGCACACACACCCAGCCGATACAGTTTTACAAAGCACCGTGGCCTCACTACGTAGGAGGCCCTCCTATGTGCTCCATTTATTCCATCTGGACTTTCAACGTGCTCGTCCTGACAGGTGGGCCCGGGGGGTGGGAGCAGGAGCTAATCCTTGCCTCCTTCTCGAGCCTTCCCAGGTGGAGATGAAATGGAATGGGAATTTAGAAAACGACGTTAGAGGAAGACAGGAGAAAGGACTCACTGGTCTTGCACTAGGATTCTTAAAAATAAAATGCAGAGGTGACATTTGGACTTGACAGAAGTGCCATTTCCTGGAAATAAAGATAACAGTTGAAGCATCCTAACCCGCAGGCCAGCGCCGCTGCCCCTCACACTCACACGCCCAGGCTGCTGACCAGTGGCCAGGCTCCTTCGGCCCCTGGTGGCGCTGCGGAGAGGCAGCTATTCTTGCTGGGCCTCCTGAAGTCTGGAGGAGGGCAGGCGCCTCCCTGAGGTGTGAGTGGATCTCACTTCCTGTTTTTGGTGGAACTTGCTCCTGCTCTCTGTGCCCTCGTGGAACATCTGGCGAAGCCCGAGATAAGGTCTGAGGCCCTCTCTCATGAATGCACACATGTGGGTGTCTCTTCCCATGATACTGTTTCCTGCGGAGTGGTATTTTTAATCTTCACGACAAAAATGTGTCATTGGCATAGTCTGACACAACATCAACAATGGCAGGCTAAACACTTCCTGGGCCCGAGGTGACTCAGCCAGCGTCGGGAACAGAACCCCTGACGTCACTTCCTGTCCCCACACCCCCTTCCAGCAGCTCCTGTTCCACTCTCTGGTATTACTAGGAGAAAAGTATCCAGGAACTTCAGCCTTGCATAGTACGCTAACTGAATTTTAGCTGAAAAATCTGACTCTGGCTTTGTAAGAATAAGGAGGGGCTGGGGGTACAGCTCAGTGGTACGCGTTTGCCTTGTGAGCACAAGGAGGCTCTTAGGTGTGATTCACAGCACCATTAAAAAATTTTTTAAAAAATGAAGAGATCTAGTGACATTCATTTTCCATATGAAGAACAAGTGGGTCTTCATCAGGAACAGGCTGAGGAAGAAAAACTGCAGTGTGCGTGAGGCATATTAGGATTTCCATACAGACATGAAAGGGAGAGGGAGAAGGAGTTAAATAAATAAACAACAGAGAAATAAGATAAAATAGAGGAAAACCAGGAGGGAATGGCTCAGTGGAACGTATGCTTTCCTCTGTCGCACCTTCTGAGTCGGAGGGCCCACAGGAGACCATCGCTTTGCACATGTTAGTCACCGGCCTTTACAGGCAGAAACCGCGGAGCCCTGAATCCTAACATTTCAGATGCATTTGGAAATTCACAGAAAGCCTTCAAGACCGGGTAACTAATTTGATGCTGACAGATGTTTCTTCTAATCAGAACAGCTATGGTAAATGTCATGTGACAGATTATAGGGCAGCGGCTGACTGCATGTAGTCTTTGTAGCTCTTCATCCACCCTGAGCTGATGGGATCTAGCATGGTGTCACCAGCAGAACACTGCTCTTGGGTTTTACACTAAGAGCCAGGATTCGTTAGCTTGGGCTTAGAGACACAGTGAACTTGGCTGGAGACCTGCAGCCTTGGAGGACAAGGACACATGGGAGGCTGGTGTAAGAGGCTGAAGACGCACACCATAGCCCTGGCACTGATCAGCCACCCAAGAGCATCGGTGGAGAATTAAATGAGCCCCCGCACTGCTCCCCAACTTCCAGGCAAACGGATCCTAGGAATTCAGAGGGCGTTGGCCACTAATGGGCTGTATGTGGTTCCATGTCTTCTGTTGTCACCGTCTGAAGCTCAGAGTGGAAGCGACAAGTCACAGTCCCAGGACCATGGTAAGATGGAGTGCAGATGAGGAGCGTGGGCCATCACAGAGCCTGAGATGGCAAAGATGAACAACTACTCAAACGAGAACAGACATCTGATCATAAAGCCAGAGACTCGGACGAGCACTCCCTCTGCCCTGTCATCAGCTCACACCCTTGGTCACCCAGCCCAACTGAGTCCACCCGGGCCACAGGCTCTGAGCATACAGCTTCCAATTGGAGGGCTCGGAGGGGCCAAGGAGGCAATGCTGCAGAGTAATTAAACCCTGGCCATTCTGCTCATCACTCAAGCAGGACCGGCCACCAGCCCTGTTGCTGCGGAAGCTGGTGATGGATTGCCCTGCTCTTGGAAATTACAAATCTCAGTTACACCACGCCCACCCCATGATGTACTGGAGATGAAATCAGCTCACGGCCAGCAGGGCCGGCCTGTTACTGGCATGATGGAGTGCTCGGGCCGGGGTGTCTGTAACACTGGGATCGGCCAGGCTGCCCTCTCCGGGATTGATGAGCGTGCTATGAAAACTATTTCCAGCAAAACACCTGGAGATTTTTCTTTTCAAGGGAAACTACGGTGATGTGGTAGGTAGACAAAGCCTTGTTGGGATCTCTGGGACTCCATCTCCCTCCCTGCTAGCCGAGGGCAGGGCGTGATCGTGAATGCTCAGTGTCTTCCCGGAAGATCAGAGCGGCCTTCGCAGCTGCAGATGCCCACCCTGACCTGCAGCCCCTCGGAGCAGAGCTCCTGTGTCTAACATGCACCGTGGGCCTCCTCCGTGGACTAGCAAGGACCCTGGGTGATAGAATTCCAGGGGAGCAGCACGACTAGGCTGATTTCACAGCGCGCAGGGGACCGGTGGCCTGAGGGCGCTCCGCCGCGGGGAAAGGGCCCTCCCTGCACCGTGACCCACTGTGACCGCTGCCTTCCCAGGGACGACCCTGCCTGCTGTGTGAGTGCGCTGCTGACGAGGTGAGGCGCAGTCTCACCCAGAGGCCCCGCGGTGAGGAGTTCCTGCCGAAAAAACAACGTCGGGGGCATGAAGACAGCGTCCTTGCACCCTCGCTGCTGCCCCCAGGAGCGTTCTTAAAAAGTCTAAATGTCCGAAAAAGGGGCAGGCCCAATTCGTTCACAGCATTCAAAATAACACCTAAGGAGACCGAAGCCATGATGTAACAAGTAAATCTGCTCAATTGTGGGATACAACATCAACATATAAAAACCAACCGTGTTTCCACAGCCTAGTAACAATTGGAGGTTAAAAAAAAATCGAGCCTATAATTGCATCAGAAATAAGAGTTAGGCATATTTATTAATGCATGCACCTTGAAACCACAATGTTACGTGAAATAAATGAGGCACAAGAACTTAAATATCACACAATTTCTCTTGTAAGAGACACCTAAAGTGTAAGTAAAGAGCAAAACAAAAGACAGACAAAAGGAAATAGAGAGGTGGGTCTTCCTCACGTGGGCAGAGGATGGAGAGGCAGGGACTGTGGAGAGAGGGGAGGGAAGAGGGTGAAAGAGGAAGGAAGAGGGGTGGCGCCCTCGGGCCAGCTCCCCCGGGGAAGGTAAACATTGTGTACTGCGGATGCGGACTAATAACAATAAAGAGATTTTTAAAAGGCATGAAAGATTTGCAAAAGTGGTTACAAAGAGAAAATAAATAAGACTTAAACAGACACATTATATTTGTAGATTTTAGGACAGTGTTGTTAAGATGTTAATTCTCCTTGAATTGCTCTATAGACTGAATGAAATAGGATTTTATAGTAACTCACGGATGCTTCTGAAATTTATATGGACATGTAAAAAACCTATATTACCTGACATGATTTTAAAACAAAGCTCTTGACTAATTCTACCTGATTTCTATATTTATTAAAAATCTACATGGATAAGATAGACATATAGATCAATGGCCCACTCATATATAGTAAATTAACTATTAACAAGGACACAAAAGCAATTTAAAAGAGATGGAAGAACATTTTTACTTAGTTTTTCAATTTTTTTGAGACAGGGTCTCCCTATGTAGTTCAAGCTGGCCTTGAACTCACTGAGATACTCCTGCCTCAGCCTCTTGAGTGCTGGGATTATAGGCGTGTGCCACCACACCTGGCTAAAAGAACATTTTTAATAAATGATACTAGAACAACTAGATATTCTTACAGGAAAACAAATTTGATCCCTACCTCACACTACACACAAAAATTAACTTCAAATGGATTTATAATCCTAAATGAAAGCACTGGAAAGGTTAAAACTTCTAGAGGTGAAAAAAAGTATCTCTGCTGCCTTAGGGAGGTGATGATTTGTTAGACAGGACTCAAAAGAAATATGGGCTGGGGATTTAGCTCAGTGGTTCCACCGCCTGCCTCGCAAGCGCAAGGTCCCGAGTTCGATCACTGGTACCAAAAAAAAATTAAAGAAAAAACTGACACAATTAGACTTCAACAAAATTTAAAACTGCCCTTCAAAAGACATGGTTAAGAAAAAGAAAAGACAAAAACAGAATGGGAAAGACACTCACAGTACGGACATCTGACAGAAGTCTTGTAGCTAGACCATGAAGAATTGCTGCAAACCAATCCCTAAAGGGCACTGCAGTAAGAAAGGACAAAATGCCTGGCCAACCTGACACTGAGCATGAGACCAGAATGAGCACTGTGCATATGAAGGGGGGCTGGATCCAAAGGGAACTGCTGCCTTATCCCCCAGAATAATGAAAATTGGAGACTGTCCCCACCAACTCGGCAGGCCCAGCATGGTAAAGCTACACAGTGTGGTCATGCACAACTGCAATCCCAGAACCCTGGGAGGCTGAAGCAGGAGGATCCAAGCTCCAGCCCAGTCTAGGTAACTTAGCAACTCAGCAAGACCCTGTCTCAAAATAAACACAAAAAAGGGCTGTTGAAAACCCCGTGTGGAGGCCCCAGCTTCAATATCCAGTGCCCCTCAAAAGAGAAAAAGTAGGCTAAAGACCTTGGAAGCAGTTTGGCTGGGATTTGGGGTGTTTGTTTGTTTTTATGAGGTGCTGATAGGACTCTGTGCTTCATGTAGGAGCTCTACCACAGAGCCATACTTCCAGCCTGCCCCCTTGTGGCTCATTTTTATATTTCTACCCAATAATCAACCTATCCAATTTACAGGCCTGTATTAAAGAAGCAAAAACACACGCACCAAAACCTTGACTCGAGAATACTTACAGTTAAAACTATGAACAAACCACAAGTCCATTTGCAGGAAAGCCAATAACCAACTATGGTGCATCCATACAGTGGAATACTACACTGCAATAACAAAGGGAGCTACAGGTGTTCACGAGGAGATGGAGAAATTCTGAACATTTCACTGAACAGAGAAAGCCAGCTATAAACCAGCCCTTGCTGTGGGATCGCACTTTGGCGAGGTTCAAGAGTAGGTGAAACCAGCTGCAATGGCAGAAACCCGAGGGGCGGAACTGAACCCAGAGACATCGTAAGCATGGGACACTGTCCACTGACCAGGGCCCTGGTCACCTGGAGGGCATGCCCAGAGCTCCTCTGACTTTATGTCTGATTCCCTGTACCTCCTGGCTCTGACACTCTCATTTACAAAGTCAGAAAGCTCTGTTCTTATGGAAACAATGAATAATAAGGCAGGTTAGAGTCATAAGTAGTGCTTCATTTTCTTTTTGTCCTTTAACAACCCTGTATATGAGAAAGACCACACTAAACGTGAATGGCCTTTCCCTTTTGGTGCTGAGATTTCAGGTGACTTAACCTTAGCTCTTTCTCTGACTTCTCACATTTCTGCACCAGTCACTTGTTTTTGGTACTAGGGATTGAACTCAGGGTGCTCTATGACTGAGCTATGCCCTCTACCCCTTTACAATTTCATTTTGAGGCAGTGTCTCACTAAGTTGCCCAGGCTGGCTTTGAACTTGGATTCTCTTGCCTCAGCCTCCTGAATAGCTGGGATCATAAGCATTCGCTACCATGCCAGGCCTTGACTTGTAATTAACAGAGTAAAGCAGAGGGAATGCATGAGGCTGTCATCTGATAAAGACCAAACGAACCACAGAGTGAGTCTCAGAAGTGGTGTTGAGAACAGCATCAGGAAGGCCGAGGCCCCGCTGACCACCTGCTCTGCTGTCCTCAGGAGTGGGTCCCCTCAAGGCGCAGAAGGCAGCAGGGCTCAGCTTGCTCTCCAGGCTCGCCTTGCACCGTTCTTGTTCGAGGCATCACTTCCTGCTCTCCTATCTGCATTCGTGGTGTCACTTCCTGCTGCCCTGTCCCTGTTCATGGCCTCACTTTCTGCCCTTGACCCTGGACCAGTGGATTTCTCAGGAGCCTGAGTGTGACAGGCCCTGCTCACCTCACCTGCGCGCTGGAGGAAGCTGTTCCAGTCAAAGGCGGCATTTGGTATTGTTGCAATTCCTGGTCAAAGGAAAGAGAAAAAAGCTCACTTTGCAGAGCTGCTGGCATCCTGCCAGCCATGGTGGCTGAAGTTTCAGCTCTGAGCACACTGGGCCACGGCTTTCAAGTAAACCCAGATTACGAATGACCATCGACCCCTCCCCACCCTCCAGGACTGGGCCACACTCCTCAGGGCCACACAGACCCGCTTTCTTTTTCCTTTGAGACAGGGTCTTGCTGTGTAGTCCAGGCTGGTCTCAAACTCACAGGAATCTTCCTGCCTCAGCCTCCCTGGTGCTGGGAGTGATGGGATTACAAGTGTGTGCCACCCTACCTGGCTGAAAGGCATTTTTAAGAAGTTTCTAAGATGTTAGCAACCTACTTCTAACAGCCCAAGGTAAAAGCTATACCTTTATTTAAAACTCCTAACCTCAACTCTCACAAGCCATGCATGGCTGCCTGGGGCTGGGTCACTGCCTCAGAAGGATTTGTTTCCTAAGTTTACATTTTCCTTTGAAAATAAACATTTTAAAATGTAGACAATTCACATGGAACATTTGACAGCTGTCTTGAGAGGCTGTGAAGTTTGGTCATCAAACCACCTGGGAAGCTCACTCTGTGACTAGGATCTGCCATGAATGATGCAAAGTACAAGGGACAGCGGGAAGGGGGACTAAAAAGCTTGACATAATCTCAGCACTGGGGAGGCTGGGGCAGGAGGATCACCATGAGCTCAAGGCCAGCCTGGGCTACACAACGAGACCCTGCCTCAAACAAAGATACAAACATAAAGCTTGGCGTTATTTTCATCTAATTTCACCTTGCCCTGTCCCAATTTCTGATGCCTTACAACACCAACCCTGGGTCTCTTTTACTAAAAAACTAAATTAAAATTGAATTAAATAAAATGTTTAAATGAAATTAAGTTCACCCGAAGGAATCAGAATCAGTTAAAACCATCACATCTTACATGAGACTAAAAATACGGGTTCTGAGGAATAAGTAGGGCTGTGATGGAGAAACTCTCTGAGCTTTTTCTGCCACACACAGCCCGCGGGGCCAGCCCTGCGCCAGGACGTCCTGCGTGGACTGGCAGCAGCTTGTGAGACGACTCTCTGGGAAGGCATCAGACAAACAAACAAAAGGCCACAGTGGCTCAAATGAGAAGGTTGTGAAAGAAGCATAAAAATTAAACTGGTTAAAAATGCAGGAGGGAAATGGGGATAAACAAGAGGGATCAAGGTACCTCCGCACAGTACAAAGTCCTGTGATGAATGGGTCACTATGCGTATGCAAATTGTAGCAATAAAATTAAAAATTTTTAAATGCTTCAAATGATAACAGATGAATGCTGAAAGGTTGATGGACACAAAAGGACCCCTTACAAAGGAGTGTGGGTCAGTGGGAACGGCAGCTGCACGCCTGGGCAGGCTGCTTCCTCCGACTGGACTCGCCCACACTAGCCCCAGTGCCTTGGCTGCCCCCACCCATTCTGTTGAAAGGTGACCGAGGCCAGCTGGACCTGCAGCTCAGCTGTTTTCCCTGAGGGCCTGGATGCTGCCAGTGGCCCTGGGGCCCAGCCCAGGGCTGCTCTGCCCCAAGCTACATCCCAGTCGTTTTTAAATTTTGTATTTTGAGACAGGGTCTCGCTGGCTTGCCCAGGCAGGATTTGAACTCGCAATCCCCCTGCCTCAGCCTTCCTCAGTGGTGGAATGCTGGGTTCTTTGTCTTATTTTGTTTGCTTAAACACAGCATAGATGGAGTATGTTACACTTCTACTCGAGAAAGGGTACTCGATCTGCCGTTTGATTATTTCGTAATTTCTCCTCATCTTTTATTCTAGAGTTGGAAAATAATGAAAATGTACCCACTGTACTGATCATTTTAAGCAAATCTCAGAAATCGTATGTCATCCACAAGCATTTCAATATGTATCTCTAAAGGACACATTCTTTTCAAATATAACGTGTACGTGTATATATATATATATTACATATAAACATTCTTACCTTGACTCTGGACATAGATCTTACCCTGAGCGTGTGGCTTTTTGAAGGAGAGAAAGAACAAAGGTAAGTGTGACAGTCCATCTTAGGCTTTTGGAGATAAAATAAGGCACTGCTGAATCCCGTGAGCCAATTCACATGTCCCGCCACCCCGCTGCCCTGCACAGACCCCCCGGCTTTGCCAGCACGGGCAACTCCACCTCACCTGGGCTTTGCCGTGAGAAACACAGCTCTGCCCAGCAGGAAGCAGAGGACGGGGCTCACTGTGGTTACCGAGTTAGTGCAGCAGCTGCTGGGCTGGGCCCAGCCAGGGGCAGCACCCGGGGTGGGGGTGGGGGGGACACAGAGCCTGGGGTGGGACAGGGGGCAGGACAAAGGGAGAAGAGAAAGAGGAGCACAGGAAGGGAGGGACGGCAGGAGGACCCAGTATCCAACCTGTGGGAAACCAAACCCCAGCCCTGGGGCACAGCTTCCTCCCATGGGAGCCCAGGCTGACCTCAGGGCCGGAGCCCAAGCACAGCCGCTGGCCTCCCGGGAGAGGCAGCCCTCGTGAGGCTGCCATTAACCTGCTGCTCCTTGTGGTGTCTCACAAAACTACTAGAGGGAAGCCGGGCGTGGTAGCACGCGCCTGTGCTCACAGCACTGGGGAGGGTGAGGCATGGGGATCGCTGTGAGTTCAAGGCCAGCCTGGACCACATAGCAGACCCTATCTCAAGAAAACAAAACTAAACAAACTGCCAGAGAGAAAAGAGATGCTTTTCCAGCTCACTGTGAAATGTGGCAGAAAGCTTTTCAAACTCAGGTTTGGACACAAAGGTAGAAGAGGAGGCGGTCCAGCCAGCCACTGTGAAATGGCAGCAAGGATCTGTCGATGCCAAAGGCTGTTTCTCTTAATTGAACAAACTACAGGCATTTCTGTGAAAAAGTCCAGAGTGCACGTCTTTGTGTCCTGTGACCTAAATATTCTGGACCCATGCACAAATGACTAAGCTAGTGAGAGGAGTCAGGGAAATCACAGCCCTGAGCTGTAGGGTGCGTGCGTGTGTGTGTGTGTGTGTGTGTGTGTGTGTGTGTGTACATGTGCATGTGTGCACGCATGTGTGTAGGGCACAGTGTGGCCCTAGCATTGCATGGGGTGTGCTGGTTCACTCTGGCCTTGCCCCCAGGTCAGTTTTACACTTTGGGGAAGAAGCTACCGTCAGGCAGCCCTGCTGGGGGAGGGCAGAGGCGACCATGGGGAGACTGACGCAGGAAGGCCCAGGCCAGCGGCTTCCGGGCGAAGTCAGCACCTTCACAGGAGGCTCGCTTGGTTTGGGACTGGTCTAGCGTCCTGTTTCCTGTTTGATTTTGAACCAGAGGCCTTCAACCATCCCGGCTGTCCTACTGAATTCCAGATGCCCCAGAACTAACAAGCCTTCAGAAACAGTTTCAAAAATCCTTCTCTACTAGTTAAGCTTTAATGGGGGAAGAAAATGGAGAGCACCAATCATGTGAAATTAGAAGCTGAAGCTGGGAGTCCTAAAATATTCCTGTCGCTTTATTACAGTTTCGCTGACAGCTGGAGAAGATGACAGGAACACTGGGATGTGGCTTGGAACGTGTCTTCCTCAGCTTCCGTCTAAAGCATTGGCTGGGAAGTTTGTCAGGAGATGAACCCTGCCAAAGGTCTGCCGCAAACACACCGGCGGGGTCCTGGCCTAGATGTTCGCACCCGTGTTCAACAGCGATGGTTCCCCTGAATTCCCGGTGAATCCGATTCTCGAAGGGGAAGCCAGAGCTTACAGTCCTGCCACTGCTTTCCTCATAAATCTGCTCTGCGATCAGAGACACACAAACAAAACACTCCTTTCAAGAAAGCTCACTCTTCTCCCAAAAAGTTAGCTAAACCAGTACCTCTACCCTGTGGTGAGAAGGGGCTAACCGTACACGGAGGCGTCTGGGTCTATCTGCTGCCCTTTACCCACCCCTGGGGATTGTTTCTCTAAAGCCTACTGAGAACTGGAAAAGATGAGCGTCCAGTCCGGCGTGGACCCCTAGCACGCGGCACTTAGCTAGCGTAAGACCTTATCTGAGCAAGTCGAAAGATAGCGCCATCGTCCGAAAGCAACGTGCACCTGAGTCACTTCCAATCACCGTGCTAAGAGAAATCTGGCAAAAGCCAAGTGGCTTATTGTATTGACTTTGAAAATCATTTTCTACATTAAAGTGATACGAATGATCCAAGTGCAAATTCATTTTCTTTGCTTCTTTCGCTCTGGCATGATTCAAAGTCTGTGCGTGGCACCCATCTAGACAGATGAGCTCATCGATACTTCTTATTTTACGATATTACTAAAATAAAATGAAAAGGAGACAGAGCATACGGGATGGAGGGGCAGACTCTGCCCTGCAATGTCTATGAGAAACTACTGCTGAATCGACTGATTATTAGACTGGGAAAGCCACGCCTGTCGCACAGGGATCTACAAAAGGTGCCTTTAGAAGACACGCAAATGCTAACTTTTGCTGTCTTCTTCTAATGGAATAACAGACAGGAACCCCAAAGACTCTCTAGTCTTTGGCGCCCACGACACAGGGGTTAAGCCCCTGAAAGTAAGCTGCCTGCAAGTGGAAGCCACAACAAATACCATTTTTATAATATGTGCACAACTTAATGCAGCTGGCAAAAATAATAATGACTTATTTTGAAATTACAATACATCTGCTTGTGGCTTTGTTAAAAATATGCATAAAATAATCTCAAACTGCGTAAAAGAAAGCAAAGCCCATACATGGACCAGTCACAAGATGCATCTGTGTCGCAGAGCACACACTTCTCAGGGCACACGGTGTGTTTTTTTCCTCCCTCTACTCTCTTCCACGAAAAATCTGAAGTCTATTACCAGGCTGGATATGGTGGCACACACCTGCGGTCCCAGCTCTCGGGAGGCTGAGGCAGGAGGATCACCATGGGTTTGAGGCCAGCCTGAGCTACACAGCGAGACCCTGACTCAAAAAAAATCTATTACCAAGCAAGGAAAAAACCCGAATATGCTCAAAAGGGGGTGGACGAGACAGTCATGCCATGAACTCCCGCAATGGAACCACAGAAATATTTTTCAAGGAGAGTAAAGAGTAGGTCTGGGAGTGGCTCCGTGGCGGAGCACCTGCCTAGTGTATGTGAGGCCCTGGGTTCCATGCCCAGCACTGAGGAGAAAGGAAAGAGAAAAGCAAGACAAGGTGAGCGGGATCCTGTCCTATCATATCCTTTAGGCAGCGCCCAGGACGGGGAAGGAGAACCACCAAGGTGAATCTGGCGAGGCCGGGCGGCGGGTCGGGCGGAGGGGCGTGGCGGAAGGGCCAGAGTGGAATTCTGGCTTTCAAGGCGCTGCGTCTCTGGAGAGGTCAGCGCGGAGCCACTGCTGTCGGGGTCCAGGAGCCGCGCAAAGTCCCAGCTGCCTGTCCGATGAGACGCGATGCTCGGGGTGGGGCCCAGGTACACGGCAGACCTTTGTTCACGATGAGGAAAAAACAGAAAGAAGGCACGCAGGCGGCTCCATGAAGAAATCTGAGGAAGCCACGCTCAGTAGACGTGATGAAAATGCTCAGCTTCGAGATGTCGTGGATCCCGGAGGTTCCAGTGGGAGCGAGTCAGGGAGGGCCAGACCCCCTGGATGGGCTGAGGAAGGACTGAAGCAGCAGCTGGAGGTGTGCAAGGCCCCGCGAGGGTGGAAACCGGGCTGGAAGGTGCGGCTGCAGCTCCAGTCGCCGCTGGCGGTTTTCAGAGATGAACAGACAGAGCGAGCCGCTTAGGCAGAGGGGACAGGAGCTCAGGACACAGCAGGTTCTCCCGCACTCTCCGCGAGTTAGTTCAGCCCAGCCTGAGCGGGTCAGGGCAGCTCTAACCCGGCGCCTCCTGGCGCTCACCCGTGGCACGGCCGCCGCTCTCAGCCTCCCGTTCTGCGTTTTAGTGCAAAAGAGCGTCCATCACGCTGCGGGTGAAGTCACTCATCCGGTATCGCACACCGCTACCACGTTAAAGACGGCATCTCTGCTTGCCAGGCGGGGTGGATGCACGAGGCCCCGGAAGACAAGGACTCTGTCTAAATGAAAATATAAAACCGCTAACAAGAGGACGACACCAGAAAGCTCGAACAACGCTGACCTCAGCCCAGCACGCTGCTGTGGCATTTCGCCTGTCGCTGCTGCTTTACAAGCTGAGGACTGTGTCAAGTAACACTCACTCAGACTTGGGGTTTTAAAAAGTATTCATAGAGCGGCTGTGCATTCAGATGCCATCCTCTTAGAAGAATGCTTTTTGAGCCTGGTGTGGTGGATTGAGCCTGTGATCCCAGCACTCGGGAGGCTGAGGCAGGAGGATCGCTGCAAGTTTGAAGCCAGCCTGGGCTACATAGTGAGTTCAAGGCCAGGCTCAACTACATAGTGAGACCGTGTCTCAAAAAACAAAAAGAAGAATGCTTGTTGGAAGAGACTGTGGGCACAAAGGGTTTGAAGCCATGGGGACCTATTAAACCCTCATCTCTGCTTCTGTGGGACAAGAGGCTGCTGTTAAAATTAACAGCCTGTGTTTAATTTTTTGAAATGTTTATGTTTTCTCATGAATTTAGAGAAGACACTTTGCACATGGACTGAACGAGAAGTCTGCAGTCTGCATATCTATCACAGAGTGGAACAAGAAGCGAAATGCTGTATAGGAGGCGTCTAAGATTTCCACAAGGTATAGGGAAAAGGTGGAACCATGCAGTGAATCAAAGTCTTTCAAATGCCAAATTGAGGCTGTGACACCTGCAACCAGCAGAGCACCGACGCCCCAAGAGGAGCCTCCTGTTGCGGAAGCCGGGGGACCTCGGCCCCTGGACGGAGAGAGGGGTCAAAGTAGTGGTGACATAAACACTGCTGAAAAATGACAACTTGAGCCTGAGCAAGGGCATTTGAAATTACAGGAGATAAGATAAAACCATCTTTACGGAAATCCAATGAAACTAATCAGTGGAGAGTCAGGCAGTGACAGGTTATAAACCCGGCCTCCAAAGTCCCCTC